ATATATATATATATATATATATATATATATATATATATATATATATATATTTAAAAATATACAAATCCATTCTAACGAACAATAACTCTATAGCACCTTTCTTAAGAAGAGGGCCTGCTTAAAGAAATCGCCAAAAACTTAATCTCAGTAGTCTAAGTCTCTCGTTATTGCCCAATATTTATGGCCCCCGTGCGAGCGAAGGGCTCATTCAACCATGAAACGTGGCTATATATTTCCAAAGGCCGCCGCGCCACCCACAAGAGAAGAAACCTTTAGCCGAGCGAAAAACTGAAAAATGTTGTCCCTTTTTACGAAATACCGTGGCCAAACGTTTAAGCTTACCCAACTCCTGAACAAAAAGGGCGACAAGGGTACAAAGTGTTTTTCTGTGTGTCGGAAATAAAGCAAAATATTGTGATTACTCACAATTTCACTCACCGATGTATGTTGCTTCTGACGCTGAAATATATAAAACCAGTTTTCGAGAAAGCTTGTGATCATATCAGTTACGACTTTCCAGCTCTAAATTTATATTGTGTCAGCTGGGTTTGTGTAGCAGCTGAAAACACTTTATGCCATTAACAAAAGATGCACATCCTTAAACTTGTATATTGATCTAAGCTGAATTTACTTCGAGCCTGCGATTATTATCGGAGGATTATAATAAACGATAAATTTAAGTCGAGTGAGTCACTTTCGTTTTACTATTCGGTTATTCACGTGTGCCTCTGATGACTCAGATGAGTAGTACCATCTATAAAAAGTTGACTAGTTATCGCTTACCATGTGGGTAAATACGGCTTGTTAAATCTTTGAGTTATTTTCGACCCTTTTATTCTTACATGTTGTAATCATGTGTAGGATAATTCTCATTTTTAAAAACTGGATCATTGAATAATGCAATTTGAGAGTTTTCATTGGCTTAATCCTCATGAGTTATGAGCCATTATGCTATGCTCTACAAATAAGATAAACGTACTTGTGATTTATTGGGGCGTTGTTATTTTTATTTCGGTTCAGTTTTCTATATTTTGGAAGCGTTTTTAAGAAAAAAAATTATTCCACTCGCGCTTTTTGGATATGAGATGATACATTATAGCCAACTCGTCGGCGCTGTCCGCCTCGTTGGTTATATACCAGGGAGCTTAAGCGAACCACGACGAAGACGGCCACGAGAACGCCACCAAACCAAAGGTTTAATGAGCAAAACAATAGCTGTGCACGTGCGTTATAGATCTTTGTTCATTTCTTTGCCGTCCTCAGCAAAATAACAACGTGAAATGACCAAATTCTGCATCGTCTACTGAACGTGGACGACGACGGCTAATTTTTCGTATTTTCATTTGGAATCGAACGCTGTCATTGCATATTTAGCTTGAGCACGTTTTTAGAGCCATTGGCGCACCAAACAGATCGAGATAATCGCGAATTTCGCTGGTAAAATATAAATTCATTTTTTGCTAGGCGTCGTCCTCGGCGTCGTCGTCGTCGTTGCTTAAGCTCCCTACCATCTCATTTCCAACGCGCGCTCGTGGAATAATTGTTAATTAGCAGTTTTATACAGCTGACATTATCGTAGACCATTTCCATCAGTAAACTGGTTATCGTTTTGCATAAACTGCTTAAACATTTGCAAGGAATGTCACTTAACGACGATAAGGACAACTGAGAAACTTCCAGTCAGTTAGGTGTGAGATAATAATTACTGTTTGTCTACTCTTTCATGTAAAACTGACGATGATGAACTTAACTAATTTGTATTGGTACATGGCAAATGTCATTCCGCAAGGCTATAAGTTTTGGTCCGTCGTATCTATCGCAAATTCGGCTAAACTTTGCATCTAATGTGTTTTACAAAACAGCTGTGCTTACCTGGGACTTTTCTCGAAACTGAAATGTTTGTCGTATAAGCCATTAGCGAAAAACAACAATTCAACATATGAAGCTACAATGCATTTATCCTAATATTTGAACTTAGACTTTTAAAAGTATGTTTCTCAGGAAAATTCGGTTTCAAAAAAATGTAACTAGTCACCTCTTCTGTCTGGAAAACGTATTATTTTGGCACATTTTTGTTATACCAAGTACCCTCCAAACTCCTAACATAAAAGTCTTGAAACTTCATCCTAGGAGTGTAAATTCAAGATTAACTTAAAGAATCCTACAGAAATGAAAAAACTATGCATCGGCTGTATGTTCAACAACAGCCAGCTCAACAACTGCTTCAACTTAAATTTCCTTGTTTATTGTACATTTACATCCGAGCTGTAAACAGACTTGTTTTTAATTATATTGATAACATCAAAACGATGTAGGGCCCTTGCAGTTGCCTGAGGCCTTCTTCCTTTCTCACTTACGACACTACTTCTGGGGTGGAGGAAACTCCTCAACCATGACCCGGGTCACGGAGTTCCACCCGGTAAAAGCATCTCCGGGTATTTTACCCACGCAATCTCCGACATTGATTCCAACTTGGACAATTCCCTCGGGAATTCCCTGGCAGTAACCTCCAATTTGAGATGTTTTGTGTCTGTTGGTGTCTGTTTTGCCGTGGTTTTCAAAAATGTGGTCAATACCATCAATGGCGAGTGGACCGCTACATTCCACACTGTTGAAGGTGAAGTACCAGCGCTTACAGCAATCCAGACAGCAACAGATCCTGAAGTCGCCATTGAACACCACTTTCAAGGCTGTGTCATTGGCATGCTTCATAAAAGCACAGTCCTGAAAAAAATTAATTACTTTAAAACCAATGACTAAGGTGGCTGAACACAGTTTTTGATTCCTGTGTTTCATTCACCTTTTTCACTAAAACCCTTGATCCCGCGGTCGCCAAAAATGGCAGCAAACAATTGAACAACACAAACTTTGGTTTTTTGATGGTTAAGCTGACGTATGTGCCGTTACCATGGCAACATGTATAAATATAAACAGGCCTTTAAAATCGGTTTTGTTTATTTGTAGAAAATCTAGTCATTAGATTTTCCTTATAATCTGCATGCAACAAGCTTGTAACGATTCTCACAAGTTAACACCATTTCGCTAATAATTTAATATAACAGAGAGATCTTTAATTATCCCTCGTTGAAGGTTCACTGGAATATCTAGAATTTCCTTTGTTAAAATTCAATTATTTTCAACACCCCAGTTACTTATTTCCTAAAGTATTTTCGTGCCAAATTTCGTGAAATTGTAATGAGTGGTTCTCGAGAAATAGCTGAGAATTGCTGGGTTCTTTGCATCGTTACCTTTTCTAACATATCTTTGTAACAAGACTAAAGCCATCAATACACTGCGTTCAATTATAGAGAAAAATGGCAAAGATAGTGCGGGTGTTTAGTAAATAAAATGATTGCTCTATTGAAGTCATGTTTGTTTTTTGCAATCCTTGTGCGCGCGCTGAATTGCATCAGCAAAAGCACGCGCGAAAACTGTATTCGGCCACCTTAACCAACCTTACTAAGAACTCTCACGTTAAAGAAAATTTGATAACATCATATCACTTCAAAGTTAGGAGCTCTTTACCCTAAAATCCGATAGGCAATTCAACCAAGAGGCATTGAAATAAGTCTTTAAATGTTAATAATTGTTTTATTTTCGATTTGATATATTTTACTTCTCTCTGAAGTAGAAAGTAAACTTGGGACCACATTTGTCACTAAATCACCTGTCCAGGAAGGAAAGCGAATCAGTTTCTCTTACCTTTATCAGCCCATAATCTGTTTGAGCGTTCAGATTATTCCACGCACATTGTTTCCAGTTTCCCTGAGGGGCCTGGGTACCCTGTTCACCTTTGGCTCCCTTGGGCCCTGGAGGGCCCTGAGGTCCCCTTTTGCCGGGAGGTCCTACAGACCCTCGGTCGCCGTTGTGCCCATTCCTTCCGTTGATCCCGGGTTTCCCTGGGACACCTGGTTTGCCAGCCTTGGAGATGGCGTAACAGCTCGGCTGTGGTTTTGAATGATGACGATCAAAGAAAATTAGTAAACTTTGAGTATATTTTGATACTTGATTGGCTATCTAAAAAATTACACATTTTTTTTTGACAAGAAACTGCCCTAACATCACAGTTTCTTTATTCAAAATACATGCATGAACACCAGGCATTCATCTATAGAACATCGTTCACTCAATCATCGTTTAGTTCTATCCATTATACAATAATCAAATCAAATTTGTTAGAACATTCTCATTTGCTCTCCGTAATATTGTTTAAAGAAATCGCTGTCAACTCTGGCGGCGATAAAGTAGTGCCAATCAAGCGAAACAACGCAAGACCAAAAGAACAGACGGGTTTGAATGGTGAATAATAGAAGACTTGATTTCAACAGCCGACTAAACATTGGAAGGTCGCGGTGCTTGTAAGAAAAGGAGACTAGTCAAAACCCACATTGATTTGACTGTAAAGCTAAAACCTTACCGCTTGGGCCGAACACACCAAGTGTGGAATGATACACGAGACAAGCCACATGATCATCAAACTCATCTTTCAGGTCTTTTGATTCAGGTCCACCGCGAGAAAAGAATTCTACAGAACATGAAAAACAAATCATATAAATTCTTCCAAAACAAAGAACATTGGTCCGATTTGTGATATGCTATCAATATAAAAGGTCATAAATAGTGACAGGAAGTTAAAAACCTTGTTTAGCTCGCAATACCGTGCTAAATTCAATCAAAACAGGAACTGATTCAATAAAGCCGGAAGCATTCTACGTCAAAATGCGACACATCTGTAACAAGACGATCTAAGATCGTAAGTCGTGCTGTAGCTAGACGTGCTGCTACGAGTGTTGATCATTCGGAATTGCGGTGCGCCGGAAGCATTCTACGTCAAAATGAGACATATATGTGATAAACTTTTCGAAAGAAAATACATATTTAGAATTTAGGATGTAATAAAAATAGCGACAGGTAGCTAGTGAAAAACCTAAATTCAACTCAAAGAGGAACTGGTTCATTCTACTCCGAAGAATTAAAGGAATTGAAATAACCGGTTGTCAAATTATAGTCCGGCTTTTCTTCCAATGAGATATTTGTTAGACTTAATTTCTTTAGTTTGGAATTAACATTGTAATACTAAATCTACCACTCTGTGAACAACTCGTACGCTTTTGAACATAATTCCTAGCTTTCTAGTGTATACTGCCCGCTTAAAGACTCTCTCCGATTAGTTCAACATGTGAAATATTTCTACTAGTGTTTGGTTGACATCAAGATGTATCAATATTGGTTCAGTGCTTCACAAATGGTTGGTCAATGATTCAAATACACATTATATTCCTCAGTACAAAACGCAAGAATATACCCACTTACCCACGTGTTACCGGTTTTGGAACATCTAGGATGGTAGACGCGTTGAAGTGCACACTCATCCACACTGCGCCGAAGGCATTTGAAAACGAGCTCTATTTCCCCAATTAGGGCTTCTGTCCACACTCAGATCCGTCACCAAAACGGAGCTTTTCGAAAACACTCTTCAAACCGGAGGAATTTGAAAACGCCCGCTTTGCGTTTTAGTGTGCCAAGGCCAGAAAACATTTTGAAAACGGAACTTTTCGAAATGATGAGGTGATGACAATAATCGTGATATATCCCTGCTGGAGTTTTGCTCAACTCGCGCGCAAATCCAAAATGACCGGCGATTGTTACTTTTTCCTGTTCAAATTCCTCCGGCGTAGTGTGAACGGAAAACATTTGATGCGTTTTCAGAGCGAAACCAACGTTTTCGAATTCCCCTTGCGTAGTGTGGACGGGACCTCAAAGCAAGAAATGATTGAGCTTTGTCCGTAAAACGTATGGGTTTTGCATCTTTGTACGGAATATTGTATTCCTGTAAGAAACTTAATAGACGAATTATTTAGAGATGACCTGAACTTTAGAAACTGCTTCATAGAAATCGGAGGTACATTAACCATATAGAGTTTGTGACGGGAGTGTAAATTGAGATCAAGTTTAATTTTAAAAAAAGACACTAGAGAATACCTCCCTGTCCCCAGGCCTCTCTCATTAGCTGGAGCGCGGTGCGTATGTAGTTCCCCGCTCTTCGCCAGCGAAACACAACAGAACACTGGAATGTAGCAGAGATTTTCTGTACCGATGGCAGCATTTTTATTCTTTTGTCCTAGGTATCTTTAAGGTATTCCTTTGTATAAGCCTCATTGGCTTCAGGAACAAGAGAGAGTACCGATCTGCTACATGTTAAATGACTAGAAAAAATAAAACTGTGAAAAATGTAAATGTAATTTGTTTACCCACGGAGCACCAAGGAGTTCACAGAACTCGTTCAGAAACACAAAAATCAATCAATTTTAAGCGTAAATTTACATGCCTTTATCTTGCATCAAACAATAAACAGCCTTTTTTTACTCAAAGGATAGTGATAAGTGACAGTAAAGCAAATAATTGAGGCCTTTTTCTTTGTGTTTGTCGTCTTTAAGCTAGTTCTGAGGTGGAGGCACCTCCTCAATCATGATCCGGGTCACGGAGTTCCACCCGGTGTAAGCATGTCCTGGTTTCTTCCCCACACAGTCCCCGACATTAATTCCCACACGGATGATTCCTTTGTTGATTCCTTGGCAGAAGCCTTCAATCTGAGTGGTTTTGTGTATGTTGGTGTCTGGTCTGCCGTGGTTTTGGAGAATGTGGTCAATACCATCAATGGCGAGTGGGCCGCTACATTCTACACCGTTGAAGGTGAAATACCAGCGCTTACAGCAATCCAGACAACAACAGCTCCTGAAGTCGCCATTGAACTCCACTTTCAAGGCTGTGTCATTGGCATGCTTCATAAAAGCACAGTCCTGGAACAAAAAATTAATAAATTGCGTAAAAAAAACTAATGGCTTCTCTCAGATATGTTTTATGAAAGTGGACAGTCTGTCACATAACGGAGCACTGCAATAAGTCATTGAATCTTTTCCAATCACTTGAGATACAATTTCATATATTCTTCCTCTCTCGAGCAGAAAAGTCGCGACTACATGAGTGAAGTCTGACTTTCTAGTGAATCACTACCAGGAGAGAAAGCGAACCAATTTCTGTTACCTTTATCAGCCCATAGTCTCTCCCATCATTGACATTTTTCCAAGCACATTGTTTCCAGTTTCTCTGAGGGACCTGGGCCGGCTCGCCTTTTCCACCTTTGGGACCATGAGGGCCATCAGCTCCCTTTTCCCCGGATGCTCCCACAGGCCCTCGGTCGCCCTTGTCCCCACGTGTTCCGTCGTGCCCGGGCACCCCGGGGACACCTGGTAAACCATCACCGCAGATGGCTGAACACGGCCTGGACTGTTGGTGATGAAAAGAGAATAGTAAATTTGGACTTCATTCCAGTACTTAGTTCACCGTGCAAAGCAAATATGGTTGATGCATTAGATTTTGAAAATATCCAGCCTTTTTCACACTGGGTTTTTGTGGCCAATGTTCTGAGATTTCAGGCGGGTTAAAATGAACACAGTGGAGATTCATTCATCTCAATAAGACATTGTTTAAAGTCAGTGATGTGGCAGACTGGTCAGAGATAGAAATGAGCATTCTGACTGGCTCCCTGAGCGGTGCGAATTTTGCAATACTGACTGCTAAGATGAATTAGTTTTGGAGAATTGCTTTTTCAAAACTGACAAAAGAAGGTTTGTTCTTGATCGGAAAACTTTTTCATCTATGTTTGACGAAAGCGACCTGAAAAATGAAAATAAATTCTTGAGTTCGGCGGATGCGTTTACCGAGAATGCATTACAGGTCTTACAGGGATACATTAAATTCTAGGTTATAAGCAGAGCTTTAAAAGAGTCTTTATGCTGTAATAGATACTTTGTCATAAAAAAGCAAGCTTGTTTATTTCTTATTGGGGAATAATGGTCTTGTTCTCTTTTTGCAAGTTTATGGACAAAGCCTCGACCAATATGACCTCCACCAATATTTTGCTAATACGAACCTCGCGCTACTGAATTCAAAAACATATATTTATTGTAAGTTTGTTTTCTCTATTATTAAATTACTAACGTCTAATAAGATATGAAAACAGAAACCGTCAGCGTAAATAATTAAATGGGCATCATTAAAGAGAATATGTGTACCTTGCACCCTACTATTGAGAAGATTCTCTGACCGCTAATCTTTTCGTTTCTGCTTAGAAATGCTATTACAGCAGAAGTGTTTTGGCATCACAAACATTCAGTAAATATTTACCCTAGCCTGAATTTCAGCCGTCTTCCGCAGTCGCTCGCTCCCGACAAGATGTCGTTTCTACGATAGAGCTCAATTCGGGAAGGTGGTGAAAGTTAGACTGCGTTTTCCAGCCGTCTAACTACATGACGAGAACGACCAAAACTGACAAAATTAAATTAGGCCTGTGAGAGGTTCTTGTAGAGACTGCTTTAAAAATCGTTCATTAGAATTTACGATAGCTTTTCATCCCTAGTGTTGTTAAAATCTTGAAATGGCTGCAAACCATCTACTGCCAAACAAGCGAAGCGACTTGAGATCAAAAGTTATCCGGAGAGACTATGAGAAGTAATAATTGAAAACAATGTTCGCATTGCAGCGGTACTTGCGAGAAAAGAAGAGCAGTCGAACACCTGTTAAGCTAATAACTTACATGCATCTGGGAAAACACCAACTGTGGAATCATGCACGAGACAAGCCAAATGATCATCAAACTCATTTTTTTCTTTGGTTCGCTTCAATTCCAGTCTTGAAGAGTTCTGAACGACAAGTGGTTCTAAATGTAACAAACCGCTCGCGAACAATAACCTCGGTCCGATTTGGGATGTGATTAATATTAAAGAGACCATAAATAGCGACAGGAAATGAAAAATCTATTAAAATCACAACACTAAATTCAACGTTAGAGGAACTGATTCATTCAACCCTTTAAAGTAAACTGAACTATAAATAACCGCTTGTGGAATTATTGTCCGACCCTCCTTCCAAACGTTCTTCGATTCAGTTAAGTAGTTTGAAAAATTGCACGATTTGGTACGAGCAAACTTAAAAAAGACTGCGGAAGTAGTTTTGACGCTCTGAACAATTCCTATGCGTCACAGACAATCGCCTTCCGCTTTATAGTGTAAAAACTCGTTGGTCAAATTTAGAACATGTCCGATATGCGAAGAGATTATAGATAGGGACAGGAAGTGAAACACCTTACTTAGCATTGGTCAATTGAACAGAGAAATTGAACAGAATTGAAAACACCGCAGAAGTTTTAAAATCAATATGGACCCACAGTATGTTTTAGTTTGAAAAGTTACATGTAGCATTCAAAGATCTCATGCTATACACTACATTTCGCTCTAGTATATACTGTTTGCATAATAACTACTTCACCTACCCTTTCTTTGATTCGTTCAACACGCCACTAGTTTCCGCTTTTAAGCTGACATCAAGATTAATATTGGCTCTTTCACAAGCCGCTCAAGTACACATTCCTTATAGCGCAAAACGCAAGTTTGGTTTTGAGTAGAACATATAAGGTGCTGATGTATGTCATTGCAGTGCACTCTCTTATCAAAAGTAAAGATATTGCGTGGTTTGAAACTCGATTATTTTCAGTCTTTGCACAGGCATTTTTAGAACTTATGAGGTGCTGTATGTTAGAGATACTGCAGTGCACTCTCTTATTAAAAATAAAACTATACAGTGTGTGGTGTTAAAACCAATTATTTTTAGTCTGTTCACATCCAGTCTTTTTTTTGGTTCAGTCTGAAAGTGGGAGTAAACTAAAAATAGCTTTGGAGGGACGGATTACCTTAGGAGTCTAAAGCTGCTTACTTTGCCTTGTCCTTTCAAAAATGTCTCTTTTATATTTTAAATAATTTAGTGAAAATTTCGGGCAGCGCCTATTTAAATTAAGTACGTGTCTTTCGCGTCTGTGTATGGGTACTCAAATGGTGACGAACGAAATAAGGAAATTAATTTCACGCGCGTTTAGCCGTCAATTGCCAATAATTTCCCAAGCCTTTAGGTGAGAGAAATTATTTTGACAAAACGCAAGTGAAATCATTTCTTAATTTCACGAGTATACTATTTGATTACCTTTTAATATCATGGGTAACACGTTACAATCCTGGGTTTTTTAATTGTTTATTGTGCGGAAACATTTCGCGCCAAACGTTGCCATGGCAATTCTGTAATTTCACTTGTGAAATTATAAATTAAGGCTGACATTTCGCGCCAAAATAAAGGAGTAATTTGTCAGCCATAATATTAGCACTAGAGTATCATAGCCAAGATATGTTCTAGAGCTTCATCCAGCTGCTGTCAGATTGCATATAATTATACGAACCGTGTGTCTATGTAACTTCTTAATCTTATCAGCATTCTTACGCCCACAACAGTTCCATACGGTATCGTCGTGAACGATAGAGACAATAAATGATTTAGCTATTATACTGATTTTATAATAAAGCCCTTCTTCGCTTGGCTAGCCATACTTATTCTTTTCCCAAGTTTACCAAGCAAATATTTTACGTGCACATTTCATGGGAGGAACTCATCCAAAATGCTTTCTCCAAGTATAGGGGCAAGCGAGTCTAGTTGCCAAATAACATGATGCTCTGTTATCGCGCCAGAATGGCAGAGTCCTCTTCCAGTTGTGGCTTTTACCTGTTCTCGGATCGCTGATGACTGAGTTCACTGGAACTACTGCTCGTTGAAGGTCACTGTTCTCACCGGCAAGGAAAATGAATGTATAACACTGTTAAATTACTCCTAGATTATCAACTAAGGGTCAAAAGTTCTTTTTCAAAGCACTTTTTATATTGGACCACTTAAAAGCATGCCATCACCGATCTTTTACAACAGTTTTTAGTTACCCAAACATTTAACTTCGTCTGCTACAAAACAAAACAGTGCAAGTATAACAGTAAACTATGAAAGGCTTCGTTTTGCTTCACAGCTCACTGTATTGTTCAGCTACTGTGGCTTTGGCCTGCGAACGCAGACGTATTTCCGGCTGTCGCTTGTCTCCGCCGAAAATAAGGTCTGCGAACCCGAGCCAGGAAACGATTTCTGTGACGTANTAAATTCAACTCAAAGAGGAACTGGTTCATTCTACTCCGAAGAATTAAAGGAATTGAAATAACCGGTTGTCAAATTATAGTCCGGCTTTTCTTCCAATGAGATATTTGTTAGACTTAATTTCTTTAGTTTGGAATTAACATTGTAATACTAAATCTACCACTCTGTGAACAACTCGTACGCTTTTGAACATAATTCCTAGCTTTCTAGTGTATACTGCCCGCTTAAAGACTCTCTCCGATTAGTTCAACATGTGAAATATTTCTACTAGTGTTTGGTTGACATCAAGATGTATCAATATTGGTTCAGTGCTTCACAAATGGTTGGTCAATGATTCAAATACACATTATATTCCTCAGTACAAAACGCAAGAATATACCCACTTACCCACGTGTTACCGGTTTTGGAACATCTAGGATGGTAGACGCGTTGAAGTGCACACTCATCCACACTGCGCCGAAGGCATTTGAAAACGAGCTCTATTTCCCCAATTAGGGCTTCTGTCCACACTCAGATCCGTCACCAAAGCGGAGCTTTTCGAAAACACTCTTCAAACCGGAGGAATTTGAAAACGCCCGCTTTGCGTTTTAGTGTGCCAAGGCCAGAAAACATTTTGAAAACGGAGCTTTTCGAAATGATGAGGTGATGACAATAATCGTGATATGTCCCTGCTGGAGTTTTGCTCAACTCGCGCGCAAATCCAAAATGACCGGCGATTGTTACTTTTTCCTGTTCAAATTCCTCCGGCGTAGTGTGAACGGAAAACATTTGATGCGTTTTCAGAGCGAAACCAACGTTTTCGAATTCCCCTTGCGTAGTGTGGACGGGACCTCAAAGCAAGAAATGATTGAGCTTTGTCCGTAAAACGTATGGGTTTTGCATCTTTGTACGGAATATTGTATTCCTGTAAGAAACTTAATAGACGAATTATTTAGAGATGACCTGAACTTTAGAAACTGCTTCATAGAAATCGGAGGTACATTAACCATATAGAGTTTGTGACGGGAGTGTAAATTGAGATCAAGTTTAATTTTAAAAAAAGACACTAGAGAATACCTCCCTGTCCCCAGGCCTCTCTCATTAGCTGGAGCGCGGTGCGTATGTAGTTCCCCGCTCTTCGCCAGCGAAACACAACAGAACACTGGAATGTAGCAGAGATTTTCTGTACCGATGGCAGCATTTTTATTCTTTTGTCCTAGGTATCTTTAAGGTATTCCTTTGTATAAGCCTCATTGGCTTCAGGAACAAGAGAGAGTACCGATCTGCTACATGTTAAATGACTAGAAAAAATAAAACTGTGAAAAATGTAAATGTAATTTGTTTACCCACGGAGCACCAAGGAGTTCACAGAACTCGTTCAGAAACACAAAAATCAATCAATTTTAAGCGTAAATTTACATGCCTTTATCTTGCATCAAACAATAAACAGCCTTTTTTTACTCAAAGGATAGTGATAAGTGACAGTAAAGCAAATAATTGAGGCCTTTTTCTTTGTGTTTGTCGTCTTTAAGCTAGTTCTGAGGTGGAGGCACCTCCTCAATCATGATCCGGGTCACGGAGTTCCACCCGGTGTAAGCATGTCCTGGTTTCTTCCCCACACAGTCCCCGACATTAATTCCCACACGGATGATTCCTTTGTTGATTCCTTGGCAGAAGCCTTCAATCTGAGTGGTTTTGTGTATGTTGGTGTCTGGTCTGCCGTGGTTTTGGAGAATGTGGTCAATACCATCAATGGCGAGTGGGCCGCTACATTCTACACCGTTGAAGGTGAAATACCAGCGCTTACAGCAATCCAGACAACAACAGCTCCTGAAGTCGCCATTGAACTCCACTTTCAAGGCTGTGTCATTGGCATGCTTCATAAAAGCACAGTCCTGGAACAAAAAATTAATAAATTGCGTAAAAAAAACTAATGGCTTCTCTCAGATATGTTTTATGAAAGTGGACAGTCTGTCACATAACGGAGCACTGCAATAAGTCATTGAATCTTTTCCAATCACTTGAGATACAATTTCATATATTCTTCCTCTCTCGAGCAGAAAAGTCGCGACTACATGAGTGAAGTCTGACTTTCTAGTGAATCACTACCAGGAGAGAAAGCGAACCAATTTCTGTTACCTTTATCAGCCCATAGTCTCTCCCATCATTGACATTTTTCCAAGCACATTGTTTCCAGTTTCTCTGAGGGACCTGGGCCGGCTCGCCTTTTCCACCTTTGGGACCATGAGGGCCATCAGCTCCCTTTTCCCCGGATGCTCCCACAGGCCCTCGGTCGCCCTTGTCCCCACGTGTTCCGTCGTGCCCGGGCACCCCGGGGACACCTGGTAAACCATCACCGCAGATGGCTGAACACGGCCTGGACTGTTGGTGATGAAAAGAGAATAGTAAATTTGGACTTCATTCCAGTACTTAGTTCACCGTGCAAAGCAAATATGGTTGATGCATTAGATTTTGAAAATATCCAGCCTTTTTCACACTGGGTTTTTGTGGCCAATGTTCTGAGATTTCAGGCGGGTTAAAATGAACACAGTGGAGATTCATTCATCTCAATAAGACATTGTTTAAAGTCAGTGATGTGGCAGACTGGTCAGAGATAGAAATGAGCATTCTGACTGGCTCCCTGAGCGGTGCGAATTTTGCAATACTGACTGCTAAGATGAATTAGTTTTGGAGAATTGCTTTTTCAAAACTGACAAAAGAAGGTTTGTTCTTGATCGGAAAACTTTTTCATCTATGTTTGACGAAAGCGACCTGAAAAATGAAAATAAATTCTTGAGTTCGGCGGATGCGTTTACCGAGAATGCATTACAGGTCTTACAGGGATACATTAAATTCTAGGTTATAAGCAGAGCTTTAAAAGAGTCTTTATGCTGTAATAGATACTTTGTCATAAAAAAGCAAGCTTGTTTATTTCTTATTGGGGAATAATGGTCTTGTTCTCTTTTTGCAAGTTTATGGACAAAGCCTCGACCAATATGACCTCCACCAATATTTTGCTAATACGAACCCCGCGCTACTGAATTCAAAAACATATATTTATTGTAAGTTTGTTTTCTCTATTATTAAATTACTAACGTCTAATAAGATATGAAAACAGAAACCGTCAGCGTAAATAATTAAATGGGCATCATTAAAGAGAATATGTGTACCTTGCACCCTACTATTGAGAAGATTCTCTGACCGCTAATCTTTTCGTTTCTGCTTAGAAATGCTATTACAGCAGAAGTGTTTTGGCATCACAAACATTCAGTAAATATTTACCCTAGCCTGAATTTCAGCCGTCTTCCGCAGTCGCTCGCTCCCGACAAGATGTCGTTTCTACGATAGAGCTCAATTCGGGAAGGTGGTGAAAGTTAGACTGCGTTTTCCAGCCGTCTAACTACATGACGAGAACGACCAAAACTGACAAAATTAAATTAGGCCTGTGAGAGGTTCTTGTAGAGACTGCTTTAAAAATCGTTCATTAGAATTTACGATAGCTTTTCATCCCTAGTGTTGTTAAAATCTTGAAATGGCTGCAAACCATCTACTGCCAAACAAGCGAAGCGACTTGAGATCAAAAGTTATCCGGAGAGACTATGAGAAGTAATAATTGAAAACAATGTTCGCATTGCAGCGGTACTTGCGAGAAAAGAAGAGCAGTCGAACACCTGTTAAGCTAATAACTTACATGCATCTGGGAAAACACCAACTGTGGAATCATGCACGAGACAAGCCAAATGATCATCAAACTCATTTTTTTCTTTGGTTCGCTTCAATTCCAGTCTTGAAGAGTTCTGAACGACAAGTGGTTCTAAATGTAACAAACCGCTCGCGAACAATAACCTCGGTCCGATTTGGGATGTGATTAATATTAAAGAGACCATAAATAGCGACAGGAAATGAAAAATCTATTAAAATCACAACACTAAATTCAACGTTAGAGGAACTGATTCATTCAACCCTTTAAAGTAAACTGAACTATAAATAACCGCTTGTGGAATTATTGTCCGACCCTCCTTCCAAACGTTCTTCGATTCAGTTAAGTAGTTTGAAAAATTGCACGATTTGGTACGAGCAAACTTAAAAAAGACTGCGGAAGTAGTTTTGACGCTCTGAACAATTCCTATGCGTCACAGACAATCGCCTTCCGCTTTATAGTGTAAAAACTCGTTGGTCAAATTTAGAACATGTCCGATATGCGAAGAGATTATAGATAGGGACAGGAAGTGAAACACCTTACTTAGCATTGGTCAATTGAACAGAGAAATTGAACAGAATTGAAAACACCGCAGAAGTTTTAAAATCAATATGGACCCACAGTATGTTTTAGTTTGAAAAGTTACATGTAGCATTCAAAGATCTCATGCTATACACTACATTTCGCTCTAGTATATACTGTTTGCATAATAACTACTTCACCTACCCTTTCTTTGATTCGTTCAACACGCCACTAGTTTCCGCTTTTAAGCTGACATCAAGATTAATATTGGCTCTTTCACAAGCCGCTCANCATGTCCGATATGCGAAGAGATTATAGATAGGGACAGGAAGTGAAACACCTTACTTAGCATTGGTCAATTCAACAGAGAAATTGAACAGAATTGAAAACACCGCAGAAGTTTTAAAATCAATATGGACTCACAGTATGTTTTAGTTTGAAAAGTTACAAGTAGCATTCAAAGATCTCATGCTATACACTACATTTCGCTCTAGTATATACTGTTTGCGTAATAACTACTTCACCCACCCTTTCTTTGATTCGTTCAACACGCCACTAGTTTCCTGCTTTTAAGCTGACATCAAGATAAATATTTGCTCTTTCACAAACCGTTCAAGTACACATTCCTTATAGCGCAAAACTCAAGTTTGGTTTTGAGTAGAACATATAAGGTGCTGATGTATGTCATTGCAGTGCCCTCTCTTATCAAAAGTAAGGATATTGCGTGGTTTGACTCGATTATTTTCAGTCTTTGCACAGGCACTTTTAGAACTTATGAGGTGCTGTATGTTAGAGGCACTGCAGTGCACTCTCTTATTAAAAATAAAACTATACAGTGTGTGGTNGAAGGTTCACTGGAATATCTAGAATTTCCTTTGTTAAAATTCAATTATTTTCAACACCCCAGTTACTTATTTCCTAAAGTATTTTCGTGCCAAATTTCGTGAAATTGTAATGAGTGGTTCTCGAGAAATAGCTGAGAATTGCTGGGTTCTTTGCATCGTTACCTTTTCTAACATATCTTTGTAACAAGACTAAAGCCATCAATACACTGCGTTCAATTATAGAGAAAAATGGCAAAGATAGTGCGGGTGTTTAGTAAATAAAATGATTGCTCTATTGAAGTCATGTTTGTTTTTTGCAATCCTTGTGCGCGCGCTGAATTGCATCAGCAAAAGCACGCGCGAAAACTGTATTCGGCCACCTTAACCAACCTTACTAAGAACTCTCACGTTAAAGAAAATTTGATAACATCATATCACTTCAAAGTTAGGAGCTCTTTACCCTAAAATCCGATAGGCAATTCAACCAAGAGGCATTGAAATAAGTCTTTAAATGTTAATAATTGTTTTATTTTCGATTTGATATATTTTACTTCTCTCTGAAGTAGAAAGTAAACTTGGGACCACATTTGTCACTAAATCACCTGTCCAGGAAGGAAAGCGAATCAGTTTCTCTTACCTTTATCAGCCCATAATCTGTTTGAGCGTTCAGATTATTCCACGCACATTGTTTCCAGTTTCCCTGAGGGGCCTGGGTACCCTGTTCACCTTTGGCTCCCTTGGGCCCTGGAGGGCCCTGAGGTCCCCTTTTGCCGGGAGGTCCTACAGACCCTCGGTCGCCGTTGTGCCCATTCCTTCCGTTGATCCCGGGTTTCCCTGGGACACCTGGTTTGCCAGCCTTGGAGATGGCGTAACAGCTCGGCTGTGGTTTTGAATGATGACGATCAAAGAAAATTAGTAAACTTTGAGTATATTTTGATACTTGATTGGCTATCTAAAAAATTACACATTTTTTTTTGACAAGAAACTGCCCTAACATCACAGTTTCTTTATTCAAAATACATGCATGAACACCAGGCATTCATCTATAGAACATCGTTCACTCAATCATCGTTTAGTTCTATCCATTATACAATAATCAAATCAAATTTGTTAGAACATTCTCATTTGCTCTCCGTAATATTGTTTAAAGAAATCGCTGTCAACTCTGGCGGCGATAAAGTAGTGCCAATCAAGCGAAACAACGCAAGACCAAAAGAACAGACGGGTTTGAATGGTGAATAATAGAAGACTTGATTTCAACAGCCGACTAAACATTGGAAGGTCGCGGTGCTTGTAAGAAAAGGAGACTAGTCAAAACCCACATTGATTTGACTGTAAAGCTAAAACCTTACCGCTTGGGCCGAACACACCAAGTGTGGAATGATACACGAGACAAGCCACATGATCATCAAACTCATCTTTCAGGTCTTTTGATTCAGGTCCACCGCGAGAAAAGAATTCTACAGAACATGAAAAACAAATCATATAAATTCTTCCAAAACAAAGAACATTGGTCCGATTTGTGATATGCTATCAATATAAAAGGTCATAAATAGTGACAGGAAGTTAAAAACCTTGTTTAGCTCGCAATACCGTGCTAAATTCAATCAAAACAGGAACTGATTCAATAAAGCCGGAAGCATTCTACGTCAAAATGCGACACATCTGTAACAAGACGATCTAAGATCGTAAGTCGTGCTGTAGCTAGACGTGCTGCTACGAGTGTTGATCATTCGGAATTGCGGTGCGCCGGAAGCATTCTACGTCAAAATGAGACATATATGTGATAAACTTTTCGAAAGAAAATACATATTTAGAATTTAGGATGTAATAAAAATAGCGACAGGTAGCTAGTGAAAAACCTAAATTCAACTCAAAGAGGAACTGGTTCATTCTACTCCGAAGAATTAAAGGAATTGAAATAACCGGTTGTCAAATTATAGTCCGGCTTTTCTTCCAATGAGATATTTGTTAGACTTAATTTCTTTAGTTTGGAATTAACATTGTAATACTAAATCTACCACTCTGTGAACAACTCGTACGCTTTTGAACATAATTCCTAGCTTTCTAGTGTATACTGCCCGCTTAAAGACTCTCTCCGATTAGTTCAACATGTGAAATATTTCTACTAGTGTTTGGTTGACATCAAGATGTATCAATATTGGTTCAGTGCTTCACAAATGGTTGGTCAATGATTCAAATACACATTATATTCCTCAGTACAAAACGCAAGAATATACCCACTTACCCACGTGTTACCGGTTTTGGAACATCTAGGATGGTAGACGCGTTGAAGTGCACACTCATCCACACTGCGCCGAAGGCATTTGAAAACGAGCTCTATTTCCCCAATTAGGGCTTCTGTCCACACTCAGATCCGTCACCAAAGCGGAGCTTTTCGAAAACACTCTTCAAACCGGAGGAATTTGAAAACGCCCGCTTTGCGTTTTAGTGTGCCAAGGCCAGAAAACATTTTGAAAACGGAGCTTTTCGAAATGATGAGGTGATGACAATAATCGTGATATGTCCCTGCTGGAGTTTTGCTCAACTCGCGCGCAAATCCAAAATGACCGGCGATTGTTACTTTTTCCTGTTCAAATTCCTCCGGCGTAGTGTGAACGGAAAACATTTGATGCGTTTTCAGAGCGAAACCAACGTTTTCGAATTCCCCTTGCGTAGTGTGGACGGGACCTCAAAGCAAGAAATGATTGAGCTTTGTCCGTAAAACGTATGGGTTTTGCATCTTTGTACGGAATATTGTATTCCTGTAAGAAACTTAATAGACGAATTATTTAGAGATGACCTGAACTTTAGAAACTGCTTCATAGAAATCGGAGGTACATTAACCATATAGAGTTTGTGACGGGAGTGTAAATTGAGATCAAGTTTAATTTTAAAAAAAGACACTAGAGAATACCTCCCTGTCCCCAGGCCTCTCTCATTAGCTGGAGCGCGGTGCGTATGTAGTTCCCCGCTCTTCGCCAGCGAAACACAACAGAACACTGGAATGTAGCAGAGATTTTCTGTACCGATGGCAGCATTTTTATTCTTTTGTCCTAGGTATCTTTAAGGTATTCCTTTGTATAAGCCTCATTGGCTTCAGGAACAAGAGAGAGTACCGATCTGCTACATGTTAAATGACTAGAAAAAATAAAACTGTGAAAAATGTAAATGTAATTTGTTTACCCACGGAGCACCAAGGAGTTCACAGAACTCGTTCAGAAACACAAAAATCAATCAATTTTAAGCGTAAATTTACATGCCTTTATCTTGCATCAAACAATAAACAGCCTTTTTTTACTCAAAGGATAGTGATAAGTGACAGTAAAGCAAATAATTGAGGCCTTTTTCTTTGTGTTTGTCGTCTTTAAGCTAGTTCTGAGGTGGAGGCACCTCCTCAATCATGATCCGGGTCACGGAGTTCCACCCGGTGTAAGCATGTCCTGGTTTCTTCCCCACACAGTCCCCGACATTAATTCCCACACGGATGATTCCTTTGTTGATTCCTTGGCAGAAGCCTTCAATCTGAGTGGTTTTGTGTATGTTGGTGTCTGGTCTGCCGTGGTTTTGGAGAATGTGGTCAATACCATCAATGGCGAGTGGGCCGCTACATTCTACACCGTTGAAGGTGAAATACCAGCGCTTACAGCAATCCAGACAACAACAGCTCCTGAAGTCGCCATTGAACTCCACTTTCAAGGCTGTGTCATTGGCATGCTTCATAAAAGCACAGTCCTGGAACAAAAAATTAATAAATTGCGTAAAAAAAACTAATGGCTTCTCTCAGATATGTTTTATGAAAGTGGACAGTCTGTCACATAACGGAGCACTGCAATAAGTCATTGAATCTTTTCCAATCACTTGAGATACAATTTCATATATTCTTCCTCTCTCGAGCAGAAAAGTCGCGACTACATGAGTGAAGTCTGACTTTCTAGTGAATCACTACCAGGAGAGAAAGCGAACCAATTTCTGTTACCTTTATCAGCCCATAGTCTCTCCCATCATTGACATTTTTCCAAGCACATTGTTTCCAGTTTCTCTGAGGGACCTGGGCCGGCTCGCCTTTTCCACCTTTGGGACCATGAGGGCCATCAGCTCCCTTTTCCCCGGATGCTCCCACAGGCCCTCGGTCGCCCTTGTCCCCACGTGTTCCGTCGTGCCCGGGCACCCCGGGGACACCTGGTAAACCATCACCGCAGATGGCTGAACACGGCCTGGACTGTTGGTGATGAAAAGAGAATAGTAAATTTGGACTTCATTCCAGTACTTAGTTCACCGTGCAAAGCAAATATGGTTGATGCATTAGATTTTGAAAATATCCAGCCTTTTTCACACTGGGTTTTTGTGGCCAATGTTCTGAGATTTCAGGCGGGTTAAAATGAACACAGTGGAGATTCATTCATCTCAATAAGACATTGTTTAAAGTCAGTGATGTGGCAGACTGGTCAGAGATAGAAATGAGCATTCTGACTGGCTCCCTGAGCGGTGCGAATTTTGCAATACTGACTGCTAAGATGAATTAGTTTTGGAGAATTGCTTTTTCAAAACTGACAAAAGAAGGTTTGTTCTTGATCGGAAAACTTTTTCATCTATGTTTGACGAAAGCGACCTGAAAAATGAAAATAAATTCTTGAGTTCGGCGGATGCGTTTACCGAGAATGCATTACAGGTCTTACAGGGATACATTAAATTCTAGGTTATAAGCAGAGCTTTAAAAGAGTCTTTATGCTGTAATAGATACTTTGTCATAAAAAAGCAAGCTTGTTTATTTCTTATTGGGGAATAATGGTCTTGTTCTCTTTTTGCAAGTTTATGGACAAAGCCTCGACCAATATGACCTCCACCAATATTTTGCTAATACGAACCCCGCGCTACTGAATTCAAAAACATATATTTATTGTAAGTTTGTTTTCTCTATTATTAAATTACTAACGTCTAATAAGATATGAAAACAGAAACCGTCAGCGTAAATAATTAAATGGGCATCATTAAAGAGAATATGTGTACCTTGCACCCTACTATTGAGAAGATTCTCTGACCGCTAATCTTTTCGTTTCTGCTTAGAAATGCTATTACAGCAGAAGTGTTTTGGCATCACAAACATTCAGTAAATATTTACCCTAGCCTGAATTTCAGCCGTCTTCCGCAGTCGCTCGCTCCCGACAAGATGTCGTTTCTACGATAGAGCTCAATTCGGGAAGGTGGTGAAAGTTAGACTGCGTTTTCCAGCCGTCTAACTACATGACGAGAACGACCAAAACTGACAAAATTAAATTAGGCCTGTGAGAGGTTCTTGTAGAGACTGCTTTAAAAATCGTTCATTAGAATTTACGATAGCTTTTCATCCCTAGTGTTGTTAAAATCTTGAAATGGCTGCAAACCATCTACTGCCAAACAAGCGAAGCGACTTGAGATCAAAAGTTATCCGGAGAGACTATGAGAAGTAATAATTGAAAACAATGTTCGCATTGCAGCGGTACTTGCGAGAAAAGAAGAGCAGTCGAACACCTGTTAAGCTAATAACTTACATGCATCTGGGAAAACACCAACTGTGGAATCATGCACGAGACAAGCCAAATGATCATCAAACTCATTTTTTTCTTTGGTTCGCTTCAATTCCAGTCTTGAAGAGTTCTGAACGACAAGTGGTTCTAAATGTAACAAACCGCTCGCGAACAATAACCTCGGTCCGATTTGGGATGTGATTAATATTAAAGAGACCATAAATAGCGACAGGAAATGAAAAATCTATTAAAATCACAACACTAAATTCAACGTTAGAGGAACTGATTCATTCAACCCTTTAAAGTAAACTGAACTATAAATAACCGCTTGTGGAATTATTGTCCGACCCTCCTTCCAAACGTTCTTCGATTCAGTTAAGTAGTTTGAAAAATTGCACGATTTGGTACGAGCAAACTTAAAAAAGACTGCGGAAGTAGTTTTGACGCTCTGAACAATTCCTATGCGTCACAGACAATCGCCTTCCGCTTTATAGTGTAAAAACTCGTTGGTCAAATTTAGAACATGTCCGATATGCGAAGAGATTATAGATAGGGACAGGAAGTGAAACACCTTACTTAGCATTGGTCAATTGAACAGAGAAATTGAACAGAATTGAAAACACCGCAGAAGTTTTAAAATCAATATGGACCCACAGTATGTTTTAGTTTGAAAAGTTACATGTAGCATTCAAAGATCTCATGCTATACACTACATTTCGCTCTAGTATATACTGTTTGCATAATAACTACTTCACCTACCCTTTCTTTGATTCGTTCAACACGCCACTAGTTTCCGCTTTTAAGCTGACATCAAGATTAATATTGGCTCTTTCACAAGCCGCTCAAGTACACATTCCTTATAGCGCAAAACGCAAGTTTGGTTTTGAGTAGAACATATAAGGTGCTGATGTATGTCATTGCAGTGCACTCTCTTATCAAAAGTAAAGATATTGCGTGGTTTGAAACTCGATTATTTTCAGTCTTTGCACAGGCATTTTTAGAACTTATGAGGTGCTGTATGTTAGAGATACTGCAGTGCACTCTCTTATTAAAAATAAAACTATACAGTGTGTGGTGTTAAAACCAATTATTTTTAGTCTGTTCACATCCAGTCTTTTTTTTGGTTCAGTCTGAAAGTGGGAGTAAACTAAAAATAGCTTTGGAGGGACGGATTACCTTAGGAGTCTAAAGCTGCTTACTTTGCCTTGTCCTTTCAAAAATGTCTCTTTTATATTTTAAATAATTTAGTGAAAATTTCGGGCAGCGCCTATTTAAATTAAGTACGTGTCTTTCGCGTCTGTGTATGGGTACTCAAATGGTGACGAACGAAATAAGGAAATTAATTTCACGCGCGTTTAGCCGTCAATTGCCAATAATTTCCCAAGCCTTTAGGTGAGAGAAATTATTTTGACAAAACGCAAGTGAAATCATTTCTTAATTTCACGAGTATACTATTTGATTACCTTTTAATATCATGGGTAACACGTTACAATCCTGGGTTTTTTAATTGTTTATTGTGCGGAAACATTTCGCGCCAAACGTTGCCATGGCAATTCTGTAATTTCACTTGTGAAATTATAAATTAAGGCTGACATTTCGCGCCAAAATAAAGGAGTAATTTGTCAGCCATAATATTAGCACTAGAGTATCATAGCCAAGATATGTTCTAGAGCTTCATCCAGCTGCTGTCAGATTGCATATAATTATACGAACCGTGTGTCTATGTAACTTCTTAATCTTATCAGCATTCTTACGCCCACAACAGTTCCATACGGTATCGTCGTGAACGATAGAGACAATAAATGATTTAGCTATTATACTGATTTTATAATAAAGCCCTTCTTCGCTTGGCTAGCCATACTTATTCTTTTCCCAAGTTTACCAAGCAAATATTTTACGTGCACATTTCATGGGAGGAACTCATCCAAAATGCTTTCTCCAAGTATAGGGGCAAGCGAGTCTAGTTGCCAAATAACATGATGCTCTGTTATCGCGCCAGAATGGCAGAGTCCTCTTCCAGTTGTGGCTTTTACCTGTTCTCGGATCGCTGATGACTGAGTTCACTGGAACTACTGCTCGTTGAAGGTCACTGTTCTCACCGGCAAGGAAAATGAATGTATAACACTGTTAAATTACTCCTAGATTATCAACTAAGGGTCAAAAGTTCTTTTTCAAAGCACTTTTTATATTGGACCACTTAAAAGCATGCCATCACCGATCTTTTACAACAGTTTTTAGTTACCCAAACATTTAACTTCGTCTGCTACAAAACAAAACAGTGCAAGTATAACAGTAAACTATGAAAGGCTTCGTTTTGCTTCACAGCTCACTGTATTGTTCAGCTACTGTGGCTTTGGCCTGCGAACGCAGACGTATTTCCGGCTGTCGCTTGTCTCCGCCGAAAATAAGGTCTGCGAACCCGAGCCAGGAAACGATTTCTGTGACGTAGGGATTTTAAGCCAATCACAGTGTAGCTTAAGTAGCCCCAGAACTACTGCGCGAAGTATTCGCTGCGAGGAGCACTCGAGTTTCATTCTATCATGGAATCTGATTGGCCAAGGAGAAACAAAAGTCATTACGTCACAGAAATCGTTTCCTGGCTCGGGTTTGCAGACCTTATTTTCGGAGGAGACAAGCGACAGCCGGAAATACGTCTGCGTTCGCAGGCTACCGTAGCTGAGGTACTTCCTCAATCATGATTCTTGATTCTTTGAAGTAGTTTTCTCGCTCTGAACGGCTAAATAGCTTCACAGATAATTCCTCAATATGACTGTAGTGTTGGTCAAATTGAGAATGTGTCCAAAATAAAGAAGGACAGGAAGTAAAATCCTTAGCAACCTCTGAATTGCAGTCCTAAAGCGAAATCGGCCCCATTTACCTTCGAAAGAAATATCTATAAAGATTAGCGAAAAAACTGAGCAACGACGTTTCGGTGTCATCCTGG